TGTTTCATCTAGAGTGTACTTCAGATGATGTATCACACTGATAGACAAAAACAACTGTTTGGAATGACTTAGTAACAAAACCCGGAAAGACAGGAGAAATATTAAATGGTATTCAGACAATAACTTTTTTCTAACAACAATTCCAAAAATATATTAGGCTAATCTACAAAAGCTAGTTACACACACAAGTATTAAATAAGGTCAATAAGGTCTGTTTTACTATACTTTACTCAAAGTAACATCCACAGGTATATTGAAAATGAGATTTTAACTAATAGGGGGCATTATGCATGAATATTTAACTAGTAAGTATTAAATCTTTACTTAAACTTTTCATTTACCATAATAAGAATATTTCTATTTTAACTAAATTGCTTAAGAAAGTTTGCAGATTATATTTCGTAATTTAGCTATAACCATTTCTTACCTATAACAAAACAGTAAGATTAGAATCAGTCCCACAGGATTTAAACCCTGGGAATTTTACAGAAGACAAAGAGAAAGACAATAGTTTATAAAATCAAGGACTAAAATCACTTACTGGCAAACATGCAAGTGTATCTCAGTGTGATTCCATATGTTCATTATTCCTGTTTAGTTCTCTTAATAATGATTACTAAATAACTAATGAACTGCCAAAGCATACGAAACTCTGTCTGTAAAAGATTTGTAAAAAATCTGTATAATTCTATGAACACTAACAACATTTCTAGCTCTTTCAGCTAACATAATGATGGGGTTAATCAAACTGCATGCTTCAGGACATAAGCTAATCACCTGGACAGATCAGGAAGGAATTTCCCCCATGATCACCACTCACCAAACACACCTACCATGCACAACTGGCTAGGTACATTGGTGGGGAAGAATAGACTACTATCAGAGACTGAGTACCAGATTAAAGGTGAATGGTCTGATCTGGTATGACAATTATTATTGTATTTCACAAAACTCACTTTCAAGTTATAATTTTTACCAACTGATAAAGACTGAACTGGATAAAAAATATTTTTTAAAAAGTTTTGAGATGATCTCTCCCAACCTTTTAGTCTCTCCTTGAATATGTAGTTAATATAACTTATCTTCTGGCCTTCTAGAAATCTTCTTTGTTTATAAAACCTATATATATTCAACTTCTGCATAATATCTTGAAAATATATCAACACGAGTAAACTTCTAAACATGGATTTTATTAAATAGAAATGATTTGTGGTGTGCTATGCTGTGACTTGTTGACCGGCTCATATGAAATAGATATGGGCTATGGTAACCTATTTAGTTTGAATACATATTTTAATAAAGACAAATAGGAAAATCCTGCATTAGTGCAAAATTCTGTAAACAAGTACATGCTAGTTCCATGTGATGTGAAAGGAACAAAAGCTAGCAAATGTAGACTCGAAATATTGCAATGGAAGACAGGTGTTAGACAAAAATTATTTAATCCTCTATCCTAGTGATATACTGCATTCAAAAGCAGTAATGTCATTTGTCATGTTTTTAAAAATTACTATCAATCAATAATAATTCTCCATTTTCAGTATGAATATCAATTAACTCAGTCAATAGCATCTCCAAGTACCAGAAAAGATTATCATATACTGGCCACAGGATGGAGGAAAGAAGAAAGCATGCCTTTCCTCTCTACTCAAATGGGACCTGATCCAAAGCCCATTAAAGTCAATACAAGGCTCCATAGAGGGGACCAGTGCGGCAAAATTCCACAAGTGCTCTGGGACACAAGAGACCGGAAACAGTCAAGGATCAGTGGGTACCAACCTATAAATCCTACATAGATAACATCTTATGAATAATGTACTAGGGCTTGTTTCATATATAACTGAAAAAAATTGGTCTCTAACAACTTACAATCTTTTTTACATTTTTGCCTTTTAGTTTGGCATCTGGCTATCTATCAGCCCCTGAGAGTCTCCTATCCATGCCAACCCCACTTCCTCCTAGTGTTACATAGATGCCTTGATTGCTACTTCCTGAAATTTCTGTCTGGTGACCAGAGCTTTATATGGAAAAGACAAAAGCAAAGATCAGTGTGAATGGGAAAGAAAAATCAGTCCCCACATTAGAAGACTTATGTTCCACTGATACAGAGAACTAATTTAGTAAAAATGTACTTTAATTATTAGAATTATTAGAATCAAACAAACACAGAAACCAATTCATTTTGCTACCTGACTTCTAAGTATTCAAAAGAAAATTCCCTGATGCTTTATTGATTTTTAAATATAGTTGCCACTGCAGTTAAAATGGTATATTTTGGACTAACACTCATAAAAACTTTTCAGATCTTAAGAGTTTAGTTTACTTAGGGTAAGAAGTAATAAATATCATTTAATATCTTTTCAACCAAATGGTTACCATCTATAAATATTAAGGTTCATTTTAGATAAATTATAATGTTTTTCATAGCAATTGATAACTAATTAATCAAAATATGTAGATAAACCAAATGTGATATTTTTCACAATAAATTAATAGCTGTGTTGAAATGCACATTTGATTAAATAATGGATTACCCTTGACTAAGCTATTAGCATTGTACTAAAAAAAAAAAAAAAAAAAAAGAATTAATGTTACTCCAGTGCGTCAACTGACTATGGTACAAATATACGGATAAAATATTTTGGGTGTTAGGAGTATAACAATCTGTCTGTAAGATTTACACTTACATTTTTAATCTCAAAAGTAAGTTTTCCTTCTTGAAATAAGAAACATCATTCAGATAAAGTATACTGCAACTGCTAGCCTGAAAAGGCCAATTTATTTCAACGCAATCAAACTATTCTAATATCAATATAGTCTGTAAAGATACAACTTAATTAAAAACAAACCATTTGCAATGAAAGAAAAATCATATTAAAACATGTCCAAGGAAAGATACTGTAAACCAAATACAGTTGTGTGTACTTAAGATGAAATTTAAGCTTGATCAAAACTCACTGAAACACCATGCTTTACTTGTACATACTGCAACTGGCATACATACTGTAAGTCCTTTCAATTAAGTTATTTGGTTAATGGATATACAAATAAGTCTACTCCAATACTGTTCTTTAAGGGCCAGGTTTGCTCATTCCTGTCTATACTGTAATCCCTACTATGTTGGATTACAACACAGCAGTCCCCTGACACTGTTGAAACAGTCAATTTTGCAGTGTTGACATGGCCAGCCTATGTTTTGACCCTGTTCACAAATCCTGTTACAACTTGCAAAAGTGGAAGGACTTAGTCACAAAAATAAATCTGATATAATTTTTGATGTCAGTCTTTTTCAATACATATACACGACAGGCATCCTAACACTACCTTTATTATTCTTCATTTACAAACTCATTTGATTCCACCACAAACAATGTCTAGTACCCAACACATGACCAAGTAGTTACACAGGTACATTAATGCTCTAAAGTTATTCCTGGGTATGTTTGTCCTGCTCCCCTGAATATTCGAAAACTTCAATAATCAAGCTAGAAATAAAGGCCCGAATAAGTGCTTTCCTTTGCCTTGCCCTAGGATAATGAGTCTAGCTACTACCCCCAACTAATTCAAGGAGAGAGAGAGAGAAAAAATAGAGTCACACCCAGTCATTACAAAATGGAATGAACAAAGTCTCATCGGGGGTTAATTCCCCACGTGTTGCTGCTGCTGTATCTTAAAAACTCACAAGGAAAAAAGCGAAACCCAAATTATGAGTTGGAAGAGCCTGTTTGCGTTTAATGAAAATATCAGCTGACAAGAGAGAGACTCTGCTTACAGACTCTTTAATGGCAAATCTGAGCTACTCTATAAAGTTTCCCACCAAGCTCCGGAGCCGTTTCAAACCAGCAGACCCCCCAGAAACCAACGGGGGCTTTGATGAAGTGAAGAAGCTTCCAAACACTCTGCTCTTTAGCTCACAGCAGTTGTTTAATTCCCGTTGCCTCCCTTTCCTAATCAGACAGATTTAGTGGTAACAGCCCCATTCTTTCACTCGCCGTTTTTAAGCAAGTTGTTATTTCAAGAGGAATTTCCTCTTTTGTCAGTTCCCCCCCCCCCCCCTCCGGTTGCGCCAATTTTAGATTATCACTGGCTGCCTTTGTTTGAGTGTCTTGACGTGTGGGAGTGTGTCCTGCGATCTGTCCCGAGCTGGAATGCTGCCCTCCCTTCCCATGTGTGATTCACGCATTATTGTTAGGAAGATGCACCGTAATATGATTCAGCCCTGCCAAATCCCCTCCACACTTCTGCTTCCCGAGTCACCTAATCCGGCCCCTCACCTCGCTCACACACCTGCTTCCCAGAGACTAAGAGCAGGACGGGCCCGGCGCTTTACAACTCTTCCGCCACCGTCCTCTGTGGCAAGTGCCGCGGGCTGTCACACATCTAGTCGCCCCTTTTGGAGCTGTGCCCGCGGTGGCTCGCCTGGGGCCACTGGCTGTAGGGCCGCCGTTCAGAGAAAGCCCTGCCAGGGCCAGTCAGCTGTGCGCCGAGTCCCCGGTAGTCTCACGTTCCCCACCCAGCCTCCACATCACCTTTCCTGGGCGCCCGGTGGCGGTTTATACAAATCAGCCCGGGGGGAAGGGGCAGCGCAATCACTTTGAGCCCAGGGTTTAATATCAGCTCTCCCCTTGCACCGCCTCGCCCCATTCCTGCGCCTTGCTCATCCCCGGTCAGCCTGGGGGGCGAGAGGCGCACAGCACTGGGGGCGGGGGAGGCTGGCACTTTAAATGGGCTGAGGAAAGAACAGTCTCCCCCCCCCCCCCGCACCTTTCTGGCCCACATTCCCCAGCCCCGTGCGCCTGGGACTGGCGAGAGCCTGGAGGGGAGGAGGTCAGTTCGTGCGGCCGCGGCAGGGAAGAGGACAGGTTGCTTCGGGGCTGGCTCAGCGGCACCACCAGGCAGAGGCGCAGGGATTGTCCGGGCGGTGTGTCAGGGCTGCATGTGTGAGGGTGGGACAGAGGCGGGGGGAGGGGAGGTTAGAGGCGTGGGGGGGGGGTCTTTACCTTGCGTTGGTGCAGTCGTTGTATAGGGTCTCGAAATCCTTCCTGGAGATGAGTTTGCAGCGGTTCACGCCGGGCTGGATGGCCCCCAGCCCCCTCAGGATCCGGACCTGCTCCACGTTGCACACCACGGGCGTGATCTCCAGCCGCTTCAGCTTGGTGTAGACGGTGTGCAAGCCCCCGACCAAGTGCTTCAGGAAGAGGTCGAAAGCCTGGGGCAGGCAGATGAGCTCGCAGCCCTCCACGGTGAAAGAGGCCACCTTGGCCCCCCTCAGATCCACCATCTTGCACTCATTATTCTGGGGGGTGTTCTCCACCGGGGACGGGGTCGAGTACACCGGCTTGCCCGGCAGGCTGCTGCTGTTGGCGGTGCTAGCGCTGGGGGTAGAGGTGCCGCCGCCGCTAGCGCTACTGCTGGTGCCCAGGCTGGGGCTGCAATTGTTACCGCCGCCGCCTCCTCCGTTGCTGCTGCTGCTGCTGCTGCCTCCTCCGCTGCTGGTGGTGGAGGTGACTGTGGCCGCCGCCGCCGCTGCTGCTGCTGCGATGGGCTCCGGCCGGAATAGGTTCGTCCCCGAAGAGGCTGGCGGGGGAGCGATGGAAGGAGACGGAGACGAGGTGGCCGACGAGGTGGTGGTAGTGGTGGTGCAGGCGGCAGAAGTTGAGATCGGAGGTGGAGGGGGGACCAGCTGGGTCGGAGGGATCAAAGCAGTCGGTACGGCCATGGTCACATATACGAAGGGGGGGGGGGAGAAAAAAGTTGCCGCACGGACAAAAAGGGAGGAGGGGGCAGAATGGGGGGGACCCCAAACCAGCTACCGCCGAGAAAGGGGAAGAGTGAGAGACAGAAACGCACAAAGTGTCCCGCAAGTGGGGAATGAGGAGAAGTCCGCTGCGGGCGGTAGCGTTGGGGTTTAGGGGGAGGGTTGTTTGTTTTGTGGTCCTTGCTCTAGCACCAAGTTAAAGATGAAGGTGAAAAGGGGGAGGTTTGAAGGACTTCGGTTCTCTCTGGCAAGTACATGGATCAAAGATTGAGAGGGGAATGACAGAGAGAAAATGAGCTGAAAAGTGCTGGCTGCTGCTGCTCGCTGCTCGCTCGCTCTCTAGCTCTCCGGGCGAGTTGTTGTTGTCACACGGTGCAGAGGGGAGGAGCTCCGGCAACTTGAAATACCCTTTGAAGCAGCAAAAGCCTCACTCACTAGTATTAACCCAAATTATCCAACCAGGAACCCGGAGCAAAGAAACGGAGAGAGAGCGAGATCCCTCTTCCTCCTCCTCTCCTCCAGGAACCGTTAGATTATAGGGTTCATGTTTCATCTCAGCAGAGACGAGATGTAATTTTCCCAACACTTCCAAGCGACGCTTGTCCACACACTGGACAGAGATCCAAGAACGTACCCAAGTTTTTCCGACAGGGATTCGCTGCCTCTTTCTCATCACATAGAAACGGGGACTGGGGGAGAGGGGCGGGGATCTACTCGGCCCCACACCTTACGAGGGACTATTTACTTTACGAGTAGCACATTTATTTGAGAAACAGAAACACTCAAACCCGGATTATTTTTCTCAAGACAACAAACACGCCAAATGACAGGGATGCAAGTTAATAAGATTCCAGAAAGAGCATAATAATAATCAGTAGGGCTCGTTGTTGTGTGAAGGATTTGTAATGGTATGGAGCGTGAAACGCTACAGAAGAAAGAAAAGCAAACGCAACAGTATTTCCAGAAAATAAGACGTTTGTGGCTCAAAGAACACTGGCCACTTACTTTTCCTACAATTTAGAAATAACCTCTGTTGTGCTAAAGATTTACCCAAGTAGTTTTAAAAGGAATGAACAAGTGCCTATTTTCATCTATAGGCTCTCATGAACTTTTTGATCATAATTGTAAAGCTTTTCCACAAGAAAGGCATTGATGGTTGTGTTTTGTAGTATACTCACGTTTGATTGATTGTGTTTTTAATAGCCACGTAAAATGAGGTCTCAACTAAAATGCGTGAAAAGAAGTAGTTGTAACATTTGTTCTAATAAGGCTGAAGTAACTTTAAATACAACAGCCAAGATATTAGAGAGCTGAAACAGAGTGCTTACTCCCACCCTGTTGTGTCTAGGTATTGCAGCGGTCTGTGAACAACAGGTGACTGCAAGCCACACATTCAAGTTTGATCTTTGATACTCTGCCCCCATCACCAGATATGGTGTAAAATTAGCTGTTGCGCTTGCCCACACATGCGCAATAACTTATTTTATAGGATATGCAGATATATATTTGAATTGTGGGTCAGGCCGCATACATGTTGTAGTACCTGGCAACCACAATGGTTAAAAACAGAGTTTTAGCTTGAACTGCGAATTTCCCTTTTGGTTCTGATATAGGGGGTTACTTTGGCTTTTGTCTTCTATTTCTTTTGTGGGTTTTCTTTTTTCTTTTTTTAAGAGACAAAGAAAGAATAATGTGCACATAAGTATTTAGGCTTTTTAAACAATATAAATTATGTACTCAGTAGATTGTAACATCTCCTGTCCTTAGCCTGTTTTTTTGAAATGTGTATTATTTGTAGGAGACATGAATCATGGGATTACACGTCTAGATGTGTGATAAGAACCTTAATCTTAATTCTATAATATGGGGGAAATTCACTTTTTTTTCAGATTGCCAAAAGCTATAAACATTCTGTTATGACCTGCTTGCTCACTACCTGTGAGGTTGCTCTTTAAATTCCAGTATATTTTAGTTCTGAATACCAAAAGGTTTCTTCAGCGAGTGAACTTTTATTTTTCTTAATACTGGAACAGCTTTAAAAAAAAGAAGAAGAAGAAGAAGAAGAAAAATAGACTACCACACCTAGGTTTGAATATTATGCATCAACGGTGATATGGAGTAATTTTGCAAGTTACAAAGCCCAAGAAACGCAAACCAGTCTTAAAATAGGAATGCGTATGCAACTTTACCTATAGTGGCGGGGATCTGATGTTAGAAATACTTAAAAGGCCTGGGAAAATGTAACCGTATTGCATTATTTTATTTTCAGGTAACGTATCAAAGTTGTTGAAAACCCGCTGCCCGTATTCGCTCTATTAATTTCTCTGTTTTCACTATCTCATACACATTCTATAGTCATAAAACATGCAACCGAGAAAGTTAATACAGAGCCGAGTACGTGTGATGTCACCATTTCACTTCAACTTCTGAATGAACTCTGAATTAATCCCCACCATCACCAAAAATATCCCTGCCATCTCACTTGCTCTTTACCTACTCTACAGCACGACGAGCTCCTGCTTTTCTTCTAATTGGGTACTTTCACGGACAACTATTGTGTTTCTAAACAGTTTAAAAATCTGGTTTGTAAGTGCTTACTACAACAGGTTTTGGTTAGCGGTGATGGTTTAATGAAACGATTGGATTAGAAACCAACTCATTTAGGAAAGGGTTCAAGAATCTTCAAAGCTTCTTGCTTCGTAAGTGCTTCAAACGATTAACTACTGGATTTATTTTAACACAGACGCACACCAACAAATAATGATATTGCTCGTTTCCTCTTTTAAACTTTTTTTCAAATTGCATTTTAATTGCAAGTCGATCCTTTCAAGAAATGATATTGTTAGACTTTAATTCTCCTTCCCCACACCCTAGAATGCATATCCGTAAAACTCAAAGTACTATAACTGATTTGAGAATTCTCCCTGTGTCAAGTGAAGACTTATGGTGCTGAAATCAATAAGACTGCTTAAAATTCAAAGACCTGCAAATCGTTCTGTTTGTCCTTTGATAGGGCCTGTGCTGATTAAAATGCGACCAAGAAAGCTTAATTGCTGCACTAATTAAGAAGTCTTTAATTTCATTCCTGGAATATTGTTTGAAGCAGGGCTTCTCTTGTGCTCACATAACTCTCTTTTTTTCCTCTGACCATTTCGATAAATGAGAATGTGCATTGGAACAACAAGATGAATAGATAGCTATAATAATTTATTGCTTAAAAAAAACAGCACCTGCTCCGGAGTTCACTATTTTATTAAATCCAGTTTTGCGGGCAGCTGTAACGTGTAAAATGCAATTAAGAAATGTATTGTAGCTGTTGCATCTTAAGTACTCTGATACCTGACCGCCTGGCACCCCCTTCTCCCTCCCCCACCCCCAGTTGTTACTGTAAATGTATTCAGTCAAATAGAAAAATATTAACTTCGGGACCGGGGGTGGGGGGTAGCGTATGAGAGGGAATTGTTGCAAGAAGGTAGGTAGATTGTATGTCTGGATATGTATCACAATGTTAAATTCATGAACATGGATTCTATCTGTATTTATTCTGACTTTCCCCCCTGAAAAATATACTGCTCTATTATATTTCATCTTATCCTTGGCTATTGACCTATTTTGTTCACCGATTTTTCAAGTGGGGAAACTGACTAAATGATTTCACAAAGCTTTCTATGTGATCAATAGCAATTTTTTAGGTTTATTCATACTGCATTATAATTCTGGCAAACGACTGCAAAGCAGAAGACTCTAAGGAAGATACAAATATTGACAAAAGGAAGGTAAGTTTTGTTGTGCTTTAAATATTTAGGCTCTCCGCACAACGACTCTTTTTTAGGGAGCTACCTGTAATTTTGCGGAGAGATTGAGGAAAAGGGTAGAAGGGAACCCTTATAGTGTACTCTCCCTGGATTCTAACAGGAAAATAGGAAGTTATAACAATCTAAGATGATATACTGGGATCTTCTCCCTCTTCCCCTAAGATATTTACTAAACCTTTAAATATTTCTTGAAAACACGATTAATACATTTGAGATTGATGAAACATCTCCTAACAACAGGAAACTAGATATTGCGTTGCTGGAATTGTTGCATTATAATCAAATTAGCCCGGGCATTGCCCAATATAAATACATACTGGATTCTTTTCAGTGACGGGACAAGATGATAACACGCTTAATAGATACAAAGAGAGATTTACCATTCCAAGCACGACGTCACGCTAATTATGTTTACTTTAATTGAAAGCAAGGTTTTGGGGAATCTGAAATTACTTATAGGATATTTTAATAAGAATAATAAAATAATAATTAATAATAATGCAAGTGCACCAAATGTTGATCGCAAACCTTTCAGTCTTTCAAAATCTATTGGAAAATTAAATGAAAAGTAGAGTTTGGTACAAACAATGCCCCAGGGCAAAAAACAACTAACACTAGATTTTCCAGTCCAGCCATAACACAAATCAATTTGAGCACACTTCTATGGCCAGACTGCCAGATTGTTATGACTGCTAATTCACTCAATCAAACAGTGCATTAGCACGCCCAGCGCAAACAGCTTTAACAATAGCATACACTTCTGAACAGTCCACAATATATCATAAACCTAGAATACATGACAGTAGTTTTAACCTCTGTTTACCAACATGAATATTTACGTGTGCTAAGTGTTTAACAAAAAACGCGGTGAACAAATTAAAATGTAAAAACTTCGGACGGTATTTAAAAATAACTATAAAAGTTTTGATAACATTAGGAACTTGGGAGAAAATTGTGGTCTGGGCTTTGTTTTAATACATATTTCTCAGCTATCTGCACGTCTATAACATCTAACTGGAAATGGGATTATCCCACGCTTTATAGTTTGCATACACACCCTGCCTCACCAGTCAGTTTCACTGAAGACCTTAAGGGCCTTCTCTCGACAGGTTTGCTCACGCGAGTAATCCCACTGAATCCTGCGATACCAATAGTGGGAGTAAAACAAGCAGAAGTTATCAAGTGGATAACTTCAGTTCTTTCCCTTCAACCTCAGGAGAAATGAGAGGGTTATCTTTACCGATCCTAACTGATGCTCTAACTAAGGACATGGTTGCACTCAAAAGAAAAAGAAAAGAAAAAAAAAAGCAATAACCAACGAGTGGGAACCTTCCCTCGCCGCTCCTCCCCCTCAAAATGCATGCAAATTGGAGCTATCAAGCGCTCATTAAGCATCCTGCTTATTTATAAAGGATATAAAACTCGCCATTCTACATTAATTCATTGGACGGGTTTCAAACTCAGTGTCTAAAATAATCTTTATGTTCATTTAAGTCTCAAGGTCCCGTTGCAGTTCATAGTGCCAAATAGAAATGGGTCAGGGTCCGTTCCCATATTGGTTCAGAATGAATGAAGCAGGTGATTGGGTACTGTCTTCCTACGTTTACGTTACAATGGACAGCCAATAGAGGAAGCCGCAGTAACAAAGAAGGAAATTCTAACCAACTTTCCTGTATGAATTATATTATCACTGTCACAGGCAATAAACACTATGTGATCTTTAAGTTACACTTTGCTGTTATTACATATCTCCAGTGTAACTTGTTAATTCAACTACCAACAGGTAGTAAAAGTTGCTCACCCAATAATTAAATACAAAATCCCTGCTATTAAATAATGTTACATTGGTGATGTAATCTGAAAT